TATGATACGCTGTACTAATAAAGGAAAGCTTCGCTAAATTTCTTTACTATTTTTAATTCATTGAGCGGTTTTCTAATTCCCAAGACACCAGAGTCCGTTTTATAGTTTCGTAATTCCCCGATTCCCGTTTATCCTGTCGAATTTCTGTTTCTTTTTTTCTGTTCTTTTCCCCCCGTACATATGATTAATATTACGTATTAATAATAATTCATAATTGCTCGATCCCCCCCGTTACTCGTTCCTCCATTCCCCGTTCCCTCCATTCCCTGTTCCTCCATTCCCCGTTCCCCCATTCCACGTTTTTCGACAGAGAAGACCATCTTTTTGCCTGTATTCAATCTACAAACACTAAAAACAAGTTTACTAGTCGTATTTTACTCGTATGTACTCGTATTCTACTCGTATGTACTCGTATGTACTTGTGTTTTACTCGTATGTTACTCGTATGTACTCGTGTGTTACTCGTATGTACTCGTATGTTACTCGTATGTACTCGTGTGTTACTTGTATGTACTCGTATGTACTTGTGTGTTACTCGTATGTTACTCGTATGTACTCGTGTGGTGTTTTAGTCACGATCCAATTTACACAACTTCCATTCGTATTCCATTTACAATTGTTATAGTTAAGCCAATAAAATAAAAAAATAAGCCATGCAGAAAAGAGTCAAGATTAATATTGCAGACATTATCTTTTATTCATATGCTGTACTGAGATATCGAAAAAAGTATTTACATTTATAATTAGATGATGCGGGCTTCCTGTCGATTTGGCGGAAGCAATGCTACTGCAGTATTGATATCTCTGCGATCAAATGAATAATCTGTGCCAATCCGTGCCCACTATTGGACCAAAATAGCAGAGTCTAGAGAGTGCCATTTCCTTCGAAACCACTCTGATCAGTCGTCAGTTCAAATACCAATATGCTGACTTTTCATGGAAGTTTAACTGTTATGGGGTGCTCGTGACGGATATTAATTAATCATAATAACAATAGCATAGCGGCGTGCGGATCGCATTTTTTCGACAATAATCCACATAAAAACAATATTAAAAATACAAGTAATGCATCACAGTGGCAATACTTTCGCCAAATCGACAGGAAGCCCGCCACCTATAATGTAAACATTTGGTGACAAATAGCTTTTTCAATATGTCAGTATAAAAATAAAATAGAATTTCTGTAATATTAACTTTGACTGTTTGTTTCTAAGAATATTAATAATTGTAAATAAAAGTAAATTACAGCAATAAAAAACCCCTCAATTCGCAATAATCCACTTAATAGAAAAAAAATATTAAAAAAGAAATGACAACATTACAGTAATACATCGCAGTGGCATTACTTCCGCCAAATCGACAGGAAGCCCGCCACCTATAATGTAAACATTTAGCTTTTTCGATATGTCAGTATAAAAATAAAATAGAATTTCTGCAACATTAATTTTGACTCTTTGTTTCTAAGAATATTAATAATTGTAAATGGAACACGAATGGAAGTTGTGTGAATTGTTAGCTGATTTCTGATAGATTGGATTCCAAGAACTTTGAGTCGATGTATAAGGTGGAGATGTAAACAACCGAACGGTCGACAATATTAAATTCCTGGTATAAACTCCAAAAGTGGAACAGCTCAAAGAAAATTATTTCATTCAAGGTATGTATATTTATGCTTCTTCAAATTCTCTAAACTAAAGGCGAAGAACAATGTTTTAAGCAAGTTTATTTCAAGGGGTTTTTAGTCATGCAATCGGACCATTCGCGTAACAGACTAAATTTTGATCTAAACAAAAATTTCATCATAGCTTGAAAGAGCATCACAAAATTAGTAATATTCCAAAATTTCGTTGCGAAATGTTGTAAAATGCGGATAATATAGCCCTGCGAAGTTTGCAATTTTCAGTTATTTTACTTACAAACGGGAAATTGACAGCCCGAACGCTTTGAGGCTGTCAATTTCCCATTTGTAATCTAAAATGACTGAAAATTACAAATTTCGCAAGGCTATATTATCCGCATTTTACAACATTTCGCAACGAAATTTTGGAATATTACTAATTTTGTGATGCTCTTTCAAGCTGTGATGAAATTTTTGTCTAGCCTTGTTGAGATCAAAATTTAGTTTATTACGCAAATGGTCAATTGCCAAACAGTGATTTTTGCATATTTAATGAACCAAAGTTAACTCTTTCTCGTAGCGTGTGAATTTATTTGCCCAAAATAAATTATACATTTCTGAAAAGAGCAGTTCTCCAATAGTGCTTGTGCAAAATCTCATAAGATTTGAAAGGATGGCAAATGGAGAAATCTGTCACTTTTTACATGCAATGACAAACAACAAAGATCAGTACCCGTCGCTCTTTATTGTGCACAAATGTGTTCAGTTGTTCAATTATCATAAAACCACTTTTAATAAACGAGGGAGTGGTGTATCTTTAGCAGAAAGTATAATAAGGCTATTTGGATTTAGGGTTTGGATTATTCCTGTCTAGACTGCTGCTCCCTAATAAAATTAAGAAGCTTATTTCTCTTAGTAGCATTGGAATTCTTGGACCTGCATAGTTCCTCCCTCTTATTTGCAACTTCCCTAGCAACCTTAATCCTTTCTTTATAGTTCCAGGGATGCCATGTACATGACGGATCATCCCCTAGGGATCCATTTCTGACCTGTTTGTTGTCATCATTTACATTTCCAAAAGGGGAAAAATAGTAAGCTGCGTTGTTGAGCTCTCCGCTCATTGTGGATAGCCATTTCATATCTGAGGGAACAAGTTTAACTGTAAATTTACAATTAAAATCGCTAATAATGTATGACTGTGTCTCAATGTGTGTGATATCTTGCATCAATTTCTTTGCATACTGTTTCATGCTTGGGTGATTTTCTGGGCAGTTTGCCCCACATAAGAGGAAATTGTCCCTTTCACTTTGAATATGCACATTTAAGAATGAAACAAGCCATACAGTGACTTCATCATCTTTGCCGAATGGAGCGCCATCCGCTCCAATAGCAATTCTAAAGTGATAGGGCAATGCTCCAAAATGTTGGAAAAACGACTCGGACCCTAATGCTTGGTCTACATATATATATATATATATATATATATATATATATATATATATATATATATATATATATATATATATATATATATATATATATATATATATATATATGTACTGCATATGGGTCCTCGATTATCTAACAAGATCCAAAATTGAACCTTACAATACCTTGATATCCATCAAATTTTAATTTGGAAATCCGGAAGTAGCCATGACGGCCATTTTGAGTATTTCACTGCCATCTTGGGTATTTTTTCGCAGGCAAAAATCATGGCCTTCTGCGTCGCGAATTAGCCCGGCATGACTCAAGGTTATATGTCAAGTTAGTCACCCCTTATCAGTTTAATATTAATTAATAATCATATCCAATAGATTCATTCCCCCATTTTGGGAGGAAATGCTCCTCCCCCCAGAATTTATCTATTTTCATATTTGGGGGGAGGGCACGTCGGGCACGCGTGCCCTGCCCGCGAAAGTTGCAAGCATGTGCGTGTTCGAATTTTTGTGCCGCGCAAGCAAGGGAATTGGACCTAGTCATGTTGTGTTTTAAGCTGATCTTTGGGTGCCTAGCAACAGGGCAATTTTCGTTCATGTAAAATTTGGCAGCCATTGTTGGATTCTAGAAGTCTCAAAGATTAATCTGATACCAAATACTTTAATGTTATCGGTATTTTTTTGCTGAAAATTTAAAGCTATTATCGACAGTGTTGCCACTCCGAGTTGTCAAAATTGAGAGGATTTGGCTTCATATAACTTGATTCATATTTGTGTAATGGCTACTAAATATTTTCTATATCAACCAAACACTATCAGGTAAGAATCCTATGTTTTTATTATTTTTATTACGTGCGTTATTTCGTCTTATGACAGCTTTATTTGAAACATAGTTTTCATTACTACGTCATTTTTAGTTTCTAGCCTATGACTTACTATGGCAAGAAGAAAGGCTAAATTGTACAGTCGATTTGATGTTGCCACTTATATGCAAGAGAAGAAACGCTTAAAAAAAGAGACTGCATTAGCACACAAGACACTTGCAAAGAAAAAATCGAAATTAGACAGGCTTATATACAGGGTAAGTGCATGTAAAATGCTTTTTTTCCCATTCATATTGGGAGGTGTATCTAGGGAGGTGTAAAAATTTACATTGTTACCAAGATTCACGTAGTAGTAGGAAGTTATGCTTTATATTAAGATTGAATAACCCACCAGGAATTAAGCCATTAAGCTGCATGACTCCCCTTGGCATGTTGTCTTGTATTAGACAGAGTAGAAGGGTCATGACAGGTGCATTAGAGACATCAGTACCCAATGGGTTTACAAGGAGAAATTTACAGATTAGTAAATTAACCCATTAAGTTGCAAGACTCTCCTGAATTGCGGTCGTTTCGCCAACAAGTCGTTTCGCCAACTGTCAGTTCGCCAACGTCTCGGGTCGATTCGCAAACGTTTCCTCACGTTCTTATGTCAGTTCGCCAACGTTATACACAGTTCATACATGGATATATAAATCTATTAATGTTTGTAGAGAATAACCGAAATAGCGAATTCTCCCGACATTTATTTTTAGACGGTGTAAAACAGGTTTAATCAGCGGACGCTAAACAACTAATTTTTGGTAGGGCCTTAAACTCACGAAATGTGAAAGTTTTTATGCATATGATATACCATTCAAATAACACAACTGAAGAGTTTTCAAACAACAATACGAAGATTAACTATACTCTGCATTAACAAAATTCCACAATAGAGCATAGAACAATATAACCAAGGTTAGACACTGGTGACGCTTTTGATCGCCAACGTTCCAACATATTTTCTACAAACATTGTTTGTGTTTCATGGTTTCACATTCTAAAGACGTGAACTATTAAATGACCATGGATTAAATGACCATGATTAAAAACGTTGCGTTGGCGAACTGACATGAGAACGTGAGGAAACATTGGTGAATCGACCTGAGACATTGGCGAACTAACAGTTGGCGAAACGACTCGTTGGCGAAACGACCGGTTACCACTCTCCTCATGACGAGTAAAATCATCTGTCACCATTACATCATGTACATCATATATTACAATATTACTTTACATTTCCTGCAGATTGAGGAGGTCTCAGAAGAAACACAAATAGTCAGCGGAGACCCCCAACCTGAATTGCTCACTCCACCTGCCAAAAAGAAGAAAACGACATTCCTTTCTGAAAAAAATGCAAAAGCAAGATGTGGTAATCCAACTGTTCTAAGTTCTAATGATAAACCAGGGTTATCTGCACAGGCAATGGCAAGACGAAGAACAGAAACATTTGATGCTGCTTCAAAAATCCATGGGGCAACCCCCGAAAATCCCTTACCTACTTCAGTTGGTCTTTTGGATACAGTGGAAAAGAAGTGCTCACAGGAAGTTCTTGTCAAGTTTATGTCGACTAGTAAGAAATTTAAAAATGTATTTTCTGTGATATTTAAGACTGCTTCAGATAACTTTGAACAATCACAGGCAAATAAACTCCGAAGTATTGCAGTTTATTACAGTAAAGGAGTGATGGGCAAGAGAAAATATAGATCAACCTATAGATGTTTGTCCATGATGAGAAATCCAAATGGAAAAAGTAAAACCACTCGTATTAAAGTTCTGTCAAACCCACTGCCTAGACTACTTCCTTACAACAAGCTTGCTTCTATGCTCAATGAAATTGAAATAGGAACGCTGTATAGTGTTCGCGATACTTTGTGTGATGATTTAGAGTGTGGAGAAAAGGTGGATGGTTGTTATAGGAAATTGATTGAGTTTCTTCCAAGGTTGGCACTATTTTATCTTTCTGCCTTACCTGCATCTGATATAGATTGGTTTAATGAGCCTTATACCTTTCAGGTTGCTATTGGTGGGGATGGGGCCCCATTTGGGAAATTTGACCAGTCTTGTGCTTGGTTAGTTAGCTTTCTCAACATCGGTCATAAGATTTTAAGCAGCGAGGAAAATTTCCTTATCTTTGGTAGCAATTGTAGTGAAACAAGCCCAGCAGTTGCCAAGTATATTTCAATGATAACTAAAGAGATTGAGGACATTGAAAAGGCTTCATTTAACATTAATAATATGGTGATCAAGTTTAAATTTGCAGAGCTTCCCAATGACATGAAAA